AAAGCATCCACTCTCCTTCTGTCCTCCCTAGTCATTGTCCAACTCTCTGATGCATAACAAGCAATTGCAAATACCATGGCCTGTATCAGGCGCATATAGATAAAAAATATATGGGGATCGGATCCATTTTCTGAAAATGGAATTTGGACCCTTCAATGACTGCCAACCTTCTGAATTTCACTGTGGTTCCAAGATATTAAGTAATCCACAAGGAGTTACACTGTTAACCCAAAAGCTAAACCTCTCTAGCATTTCAAACCCACCAATGACTGTGGAAGAAAGACAGGTAGTCTTCTCATGCCCTATCTAGAGCCTCTAAAAACCCACTGGAAGGTCACCTGTCAATAGGTTCCAACTGGATGATGGTGAGTGCGAAAGCTGTTTTTGCTATGCATCAGAAAACTGGGTGGTGACTAAGGATGAAAGAAGAATTGATGTCTTTCCGGTGTGGTGCTGGAGAAGAGTGTTACCATTAACGTGGTACAATGATCATTGTTGATAACATGAGTCAATCTTTTTTCTTTTGTAAAAACTATCTCTAACTGAGATAATCCTTGATTCATTCCTAGGGCTCTTAATAAAATAGTTGGTTCAAGCTGATTTTCACAGATTTATTGCTGATTTATTTTCTAGAGAACTATCAGAGGTCCTAACCCTGCCATTTCGCTGTCAACTTTTAATCATTCATCTTAACAATGAATTAAGGAATGAAGAGTTATTAGGTCAGTCAGCAAAGATATTTCAATAACTTTTTGTTATGCCTCTGAATTAAGAAAGGGATTTCTCCCTACTCGGAGGTTGCCAGGGAGCCTCCCAATTAGCTGTGTCTGTTCTAGGCCTCAAACATGGAGGTGTCCAACGTGGAGTCTGACTTGGAGGAATCCACAGCGGAAGACGACGTGGAAATGGAGGTAGACCAGCCTCCGGGGATCCCTCCTCGCAGGAAGCTGCGCCCCCGGGGGTGGTGGCTGAAGCCCCAGCACTTGCAGAGCAGGCTGGTGGTGCACGTGGAGGCGCCGCTGCTCGAGGCCATCTTCGGCCCACGCATGGCCTTCCTCGAGCTCTTCGAGAGGGTCAACGAGGTGCTTCTGGACGTCCGAGTGACAGACCCTGCCGCCGACGCCGAGATTACCATCTTCGGGCGCAGGAAGTACCAGGAGCGCGCCGAGTGGCTGCTGCAGGCCATGGCCGACAGGCGCCGGGACAGGCGCTTTAGAGGCATGGAAGTTCCAGCACTCGAGGAAGCCATGAGCCTGCTGGAAGTGTACGAGAATGAAGAAGGACAAAACTCCAACGATTGCAATGAAAATTAAGTGGTTATGTGTCTAATAAAGCAATTTCTAAAAAAAAAAAAAAAGAAAGGGATTTCTAGAAAGACTAATTTAATTACTTTACATCCTTTTATTCTAGGTGGATAGTTTAAGACAAATGCTATTTTACTCTTAAGAAACACTGTCTATTTTTATCACTGTGTTAAGCAGGGCCTTTAGTGTATTGAATCTTGCTTTAAAGTATCTGGGCTGCATTATTTGAGGTTTGAACAGTACAGGTTTTATTCCATTACAATTTCATAGTAATTCTCTCTGACTCTAGAGATTTTGCTCTGAGATTAAATCACTTGAACTGCATTCTTATATTTTGTAAAAACACATTCTAAAAATGTTATCTATTTCATCTTTCAGTGTCCTTTGTCCAATGACTTACGGAATGCGGTCCATGTTGGGTTTAGTTCTAGAAAAAGCAATCTGCCAGTGAAGACATACGGAACTGCCTTTTATTTTCAGCAAATTAAAACTATGATACTTCTACCTAGCAATGAAGAAGTAGGGTTAAATATTTTAGTAGACTCCAAGTACCTGCAAGCAACTATTTTGCAATTACTTAAAGATTATCTCTATTTTAGGAATTCTGAAGACATAGTGGTTAAAGTATTCAGGCATTAACTGAAAGGATGATTGTTGACCCATCATTTCTTTGCAGGAGAGAGATGCTGTGGTTAGCTTCTGTAAGGATTTGCAGACTTGGAAAAATCTACTGGGCCATTCTACTCCGTCCTACAAAGTGACTATGAGTCAAAATCAAATCTACAATGAGAGATATGATTTTGTGACTCTCTAGTTTTTGTCTTAGAATTTATTTCCTTCTAGGAAGAAGGAAATTCAAACGTCACAGGTAATGAAAGGGAACGCCCAGTCTATCTTCACAGTTTTACAGATGGAGAAACATATGCAGACAGGCCTAGTTTCTTCAAGCTTCAACCTACATTGGATTTTTATTACATTTTTACCTTACCATGCATTTATAATTCATCTCCCTCTATAAAATAAGAAGAGGGATATTTCAACACGTGTGTGTGCACAAAGGTGAAGAATGGAACTATTTGTATTGACTAATAGGTAACGCGAAACCTACACTTGGACCAAGAGGCAGTCGGCAGAACAGAACAAGGAAACACTGCATGCAAAATTGGGAAAGGTGTATGACAGTGATGTGTCCTATCTTCATACTTTTTCAACCTGCATGCAGAGCAGGAGAGACTGGGCTCTATGAGGAGAAGTGTGGCATCAGGATTGGTGGAAGATCTATTAACAATCTGTGGTATGCAGATGACACAACCGTGCTTGCTGAAACTGAAGAGGACCTGAAATGCTTACTGTAGAGGGTCAAGGGCTGCAGCGTTCAGTATGGATTGAGGCTCAATGTCAAGAAGACAAAGATTCTCACCACTAGACCAATTGGCAGTATAAGGATGGATGGTGAAGAGATTGAGATTGTTAACAACTTTAGTCGGCTTGGCTCCACAGTCAATACTCTTGGTACCAGTAGCCAGGAAATTTAAAAAAATTAAATATTGCAATAGGGAAGTCTGCTGTTAGGGACCTCTGCAGAGTACTGAAGAGCAATGGTGTCTCTCTGGAGACTAAGGTGCACCTGATACAGGCCATGGTCTTTGCAATCACTTGTTATGCATCGGAGAGTTGGACAATGACCAAGGAGGATAGGAGCATTGATGCCTTTGAGCTGTGGTGCTGGAGAAGAGTATTGAATGTACCATGGACTGCTAGGAAAACAAACAGATTCATCCTGGAAAGGGTTAAACCTGGTGACTCCTTGGAGGCAAGGATTCTGAGGCTCAGTCTAACACACTTTAGACATGTTGTAAGGAGGGACAGGTCCTTGGAGAGGGACATCATGCTGGGTAGAGTAGAGGGACAGCGCAGGAGGGGAAGACCCTCTATGAGATGGATTGATTCAGTGGCTGGGGTAATCGGGATGGGTGTTTCAGAGGCAGTGAGATTGGCACAGGATAGAGCAGGGTTTAGGGCTGTTGTACATAGGGTTGCTATGAGTTGCAAGCGACTAGACGGCACACAACAACAACAGCAATAGATAACTTGCTAGCTTTTCCCATATATTTTTTTCTTATTGCAAAATGTTGAAAATAGGAAAACAAAATTATCAAAAGTTATAAATGTTTAAATGAAAATTGCAAACTAAGCCTCTTTGTATTTAAAAAACTGAAACAAAATCTCATTACCATGAAGTCAGAACCAACTCATAGCTAACCCTTGAGACTGGTCACATAGGGTAATATTACTTCTCTTTCTCCAGTGAAACAGTTGATATTAGCACAGCCTACCGTCTGGCTAGCAGTACAACACCTTACGCACTAGGCTGCTAGAACTCCCTTTCTATTTAGAGGTTTACTACCTTGTTTTTCTTATATGAAGTCATAGAAAAAAAATAAGCTGCAATAAAATTGGAGTATTAACATGTAATAATACCTCTTAAATTAGGTGTAACTACAGACATATTGAATTTCAATCTATTTTTTCTTTTGCAAGTTCTTCATAGAAACTGTGAAAATGAAAATAATTTCCCAATCTCCCTTCAGTTAGGCATTGGTAAATAGAACTGTTTTTACTGATGGTATTGTTAGCAATCCACTACTGACTTTGCTATAGTTCTGTTTTGATTGAAAATATGATTACTAGATTACAGCAACCATCTTATAACAAGTGAAAAAGAGTCACTAACATTTTTTTCCAATATCAAAGAATGTCAGGGAATGAATTGTTAAAAAAGTGTGGTAAGCGTGGTTATGAACAATGAACCACACACACACACACACACACACACACACAAATTCTTTAGAAACATGCTCCACTGATGTAAGATATTGGCTGGTGTTCACTGGTAGAATCCTTACCAGAGAATTGGGAGGCCTAGCTGAAATTCCAAACCAACAAACTTCATGGACAGCAACCACCTATGTTAGTAAAGCGTGGTTTGTTGCTATGATGATGAATAGGTTTCAGCAGAGCCTTCAGATTACTCTGACCTAAGAGGAAAGCCATGGAGATCCGCAGCAGAAAACTCAAGCAATGGAAGCCCTGTGGATCCCAACAGACAGACATCCAATATATTAAAAGAGTGTCACAGGACCACATAGTATTTTACTCTTTTGCGCATGAATAGGGGTAGCCATCTACTAGGAATCTACTTGAAAGCAATGACTATGTGTCAGAGTTGGACAATGAATAAGGATGATAGAAAGAGAATCAATGTCTTTGAGCTGTAGTGTTGGAGAAGAGTATTGATTATCTCATGAACCTGAAAAAGAATAAACAGATATGTCTTGGAGAAAGTGCAGCCAGAATGCTTCTTGAAGCAATGATGACAAAGCTGCCTTTCACATACATTGGCCATGTTGTTAGGAGAGGCTGTCCCATGGAGAGAGACGTCAGGCTCAGAAAGTGGAGGGACAGCAAAAGGGAAGAAGATCCTCTGTAAGGTGAATTGGCACAGTGACTGTTGTATGGGCTTAAGTATTGCAGAAATGATGAGGATGGTGTAGGGTAGGATAGAGTTCAGACCCATGGTCCATAGGGCCTCTATGAGTTGTGTTTGATTCAAATGCACTATCAACAAGAAGAACAACAGAATTCACTCAGACTAATAACTCATAGCTCATTGGCATTCCTTTTGTGTCAGAACCGACTCACAAGAGAACCTTCAGAGTCTTGGAAGGCTATAAACGGCATGGGAGAAAATTGGCCCATCTTTCTACCTCTGAGCTGTTTGTGGGTTTGAACTGACAGAGAGGCACCACCGTTGAGTTACTAGTGTAGCTACTCATGTACTGCGCCATCTGAGGCCCTAATTCATTCATAGAGATCAAAAAAAATGAAGGAAAATATACTACAAATTCTCAGACCAAAAGAAGAAATCTCATATCTGAATACTGCAAAAACTGTGAGTCAATGTTTGTAAGTTTAAAATTAAATGAAATCTGAGCAATATGGTGTTTGTGAGTAACTAAAGAAATGAAGCATCGTAAAACCTCTTAAAAGAGGAATGCTTTGCCTACACTGACAATCAAAATGACAATTTCTATAGGAAGAAAGCAGTCGGACTGCTTTCATGGGATCAAAATTGAGGAAGCATGTTTGTTTTTTTCACTGAACATGAACAAAAACACAACACCTTACTATTAAAATATATTAATACTAGATTTTAAAGTTTCATTACCATTTAGTTGAAAGTTGTTGTTGCTGCTGCTAAGTGCTGTCGACTCATAGGCAACTCTCAGCGAGTCTATAAACAAAAGTCCTCAACACTTGTGTGACTTTCATTCTTTCTCTAGCTTCATAGGGTTTCAAGAAGCAAACTATTACAGAAGTGGATTCCACTCCTGCTTCCAACCTTGTTTTAATTGGGGAGCTCCACCAAATACTGTCCACCATGGATAACCATCATCACATTTGACACATGAGGGTCACAGTGTTCAGCTTCACAGCAATCACAAGTTACCTCTGTACGGCAAGTGTACATGCCAGGGCTATATGACCTAGAAGAATGTTTGACCAAAAACAATTAAAAACATACCTGAGGGCCATGGATTAGAGTCACCCACCTTTGGTGGTAACATAACTTTCGGTCCACTAGTCCAACTGATCTCTCTCTACGTTGTTAAGTGCTGTCGAGTTATAGGCGATCCATAGTAACCCTATGAAAGGAAGGCCTTTCTGCACTGTCCTGTGCCAATAGCAC